CCTGAACAAAATGACTATGTTACTTTTTATGTATGTCTTATATTTTAGAATCACTGCCTATGCCAGTAAGAGTATTGATTATACCCTTGACAGGACTCACATGAAATACTTATCCCCACAACACAAAGACTTTCTGAATACTGATGGAGGATTTCTAATTTAGAAAGAATATACTGACCAAGCAAAATAACAGACTCTTTTATGGGAAGACTGTCTTGTCAGAAAACACTTTTGAATATCAAAAAAGATGGCCTCCTAGATGACTCAATATTCTTTTTTATAACCGTCACCTCACATTTCCAAAGTTCCAAAGTTCTCCGTTCACATGGCCAAGCTTAAGTAGCCACCCCACCACATGAAGAAAAGATCATGCAAAAACAAGTAGTCTCTAAAAAACAGCTTTCTTCAGGGGCAGCAGGATGAAATTCCTGAATGCTGTGAGGTAAGGTCATCTCAGGTTCACAGTTCCTCATACAAGAACAATACTTCTCGGGGAGAACTGCCTATAGTAAATGAGAGATTTAAGGTCAGACAAGGCAATGGTTAAGTCGGCCTTCCATATTCAAACACCACTAAAATGCACCACCACAGGGCTCAAGTAAGGACCATCAATTTTGATAGTTCACATGCATATTATGTGGAATTTAGGCCTTCTTTTTGTACTAATTGCTTAATTTGGCTATGTTTGAATCACCACAATGACACAATAATTGAAAAAAGCATATACATTTCCCCCACTAAAACTTTACGAACATTAAGATTTGTTTTTTGTATTTAAAAGAGCTTTTAAAAGTGTTAAGATTTCTTAAGGTAGGTAATACTAAGCAATTACTTGATTTTTCTGACAAAAGTACCATTTAGGTTATAGACTGGGACATTCACCAAAGCATGTTTTCAGTTTAGTTTATTTGTCATATGCACAAGTGCAATGAAATACTTATTTGCATTTGTGTTTCAATACAAAGACATTAAGGAAAAAAACAAACACAGGACAGCAACAACAAAGTTAAATGACATAACATAACATAACTTAAAGCATGTTTAAACAGAAATCCAAATAATGTTTTAATGCTTTAGACATGTTATTGCATACAACTTTAGCCTGTTTTAAATGATATATGATGGGCTCACCAAGGGAATATTGAAAATATTTAAAATGAGTTCAAGGGAAATCTAAAATGCTGTATTAAACTGCCATGTTTTATAAGCAAAATTTCAGGATCCTGTTTATAATGTCCATTAAAACACATGCACGCCACATGCATTTATCCTTTTCAAAACACATTGAAAAATACACATTTCTAGTATATAGAAATGTTTTTAGTATATCACAGAGTAAGTTATAAAATTAGGGAAACAAAAACAACTAAAAAGCAGGGTCCTTCATAGCCAACAAATAATCAAATAAAGTACAGCAAAGTCATATATATATGAGAGCACCACTGCATACAAGTTAAAATAAATTGAAGAGGCTTCCAACCTCAAATCCCCACTCTAGTATTTCCGCAAACCCATGTTGTACTGGAACACTATTTAGATTTCTTTCAATTAAAGAAAACCCCGCACTACAGCAGACACTTCAATGAGGCAGGCAAACGGACCGGCTAATTATCTTCCAATCCACCTTGCTCTACTGCATATGTCAATTTTTATCTGCACTGGACAGATGTGTTCTGCATGTTTGAAGTGAAATGTCAGTCCACGCTTCTGTGACAAGACTTGCATCACTAAAGCAGCTACCATGTCTTTGAAGTTGCCGTTCGGTGCAACATTAAAAATTCTGGACCCCCCCGCTAAACAGAGTTCCACTTAAATTCTCCTTCGGAGTCCTCACAAATATTTTTTAGCAATGGCATCCATTTTATTCACTTAACCTTTTATTTTAAACTATTAAGTTAACTGGTAAAAAAAAGTATTTAAAATTACAAACTGGAGACCAGTTCATGACAGCCAGGCAACAACACTAGCATTCTTGTTCAGTGTCCCGTGCCCTAACCATAACTCCAAGCTGCTGTAGTGTGTCTGTAAACAGGTGTAGAAAACCTTTTGGATTTGTTATACCTGAAATGGAACAAACACAAAATTGTTCAGTGCAGAAAACGTCTGCATTTTCTTCCACACAAGTAACAGGTTCATCATCAATTACTTCTAATTCTTTTACTCAGAGCTTGAAACAAAAACAAATTCTGATTACACCAACCCACGTCCAGTTCAAAGAAATACATACTGCTATACAAGTACCACCACCTCTCACAGATGAAAGACCAGTTCCCCTTGAAACTCAAAATAATCACAGAAATGGAAGTCGGAAGTCCCAAAAAAAAAACTATAGCCTAAAAAAAGGCTCTTATAGTCTCTAATCATAGTTCCAGTGTAGTACATACAATAAAAACCAATTTAAGCAAAATGATGAATACCAAAATGGCTTCTATTTAGCTTTTTACATTTACCTAACATTTTTTTAAACTATTTATCGAATGCATTTAAAAATTAGAGATCTCTCAATAACTGAGGATTGCTTTAAGAACAATATTTTTATTATTGCATACTTAAGCAGTTGTCTGCCTCTCTTACTCCAAGATTGTATGTTTTAACCTTCTGACCCATAAAACTGCCAGGGTGTAAGAAAAAGCTTGAGTGACCACACGCTGAAGCACAAAAGACTTAAATGAGAATGTGCTGGTCAGTTCAGGCTCCACTGACAATAGACCAAATCTTACAAAACATCAAAACACCTTGTTGAACAAAACATAATTTAAAACTATATCATTAACGGCTGTGCAAAATAAATGTAATCCACTCTTAACAAAGGAAAATATTTTTTCCTTGTTTTCAAATGTTCAAATAGTATTTCCCATTTGCAAAGACAAGACTGTTTCCAATTGCCACAGTATTCCCATACAGTGTAGGATTCGTCTTCTTAACGCTTTAAAATAATTGAATTAGCAGCAAACATTCTGAATGCGATATCTGTTGGTTTGACAGCCTGTATATTTTACAATGAGCATTATTAATGTCCTTTTTAAAAGCACAAACATTATAATTACTGCAAAATACACTTTATAAATAGGAAGTTGTTTTGAAATGCCCTTAGTTTTTTTGTAAAAAATAAAATATGAGGGGTGGGGGGCAGAAAGTAAAAAAATCTTACAGAGAAGATTTACTTGGCAACTAGTCTATTTTTTTCTTCGTGTACACAACCATCTCCCTTTTGTAAACGTATTTTTTCCGTTTTACGATCATTAAGAGATACAATTGTACTTTTAAATTGTAATGGTTTATTGCAGTCAAACGTGTGAGCACCTTAAATCAAACACAACCCAAGGAAGAACACAAACTCCTGGGGAAACAGAGATTGAAGCACCTAGTTTTTCTGTAGATCTGGGGGGAAGGGATTCTCGAATTTGCTGAAATGAATCGGGTTTGGTTTCAGAGAAAGGCTGATAAAACCAGGAGACTGGCATTTGTGTGTGTCAAAGGAGGAGCCCGGCGAAATCTGGGGGGCCACAAAGGTGCCTCACACTGTAATGAGAAAACACTTCTGAAAGATAAAACACCATTTGTAGTAAGCCCCCTACTGACAACCCTAATACATATTCTTTATAAGCCATTAAAGATACCCGCCACATATTACACCTGAATAACAAAGTACTGGTTTGGGCCTTCTTTTCATCTTGTCAGCGGCATTTTTAATTAGAAAACTATTCACGTCGTTCCCAATTAAATAGTTATCACATTTCCCTACTAACGCATTTTAAATTTTAAAAATCCGGAGACAAACAGAATACTCATAAACTCCTCTTATTCTATATGCCATTATTAACTTTTTAAAATCTCAAAATATTAGCTGTGCTGCAACCATCGTTACTGGGTATCTTTACTAAACGCATCCTAAAGGCGCCCTAATCAGCAGCAAGAAGAAACGACACTTAACTATGTTACAGACAGAAATGTGAAATGTATCCCTGACATATACGTATATCATAACACCTTCGACGTGTCAACAAATAAAACAGGGTACACTTTAAAAACATGAAAAACTGAAATTGTACAAAATGGTTTTTTTTACTCTAACATTAAAATAATGTTTATCTTTGTTCAGATTTAGATCTTGCACAAGTCTATCGGTTAAAAAAAAATGACATTTTAAAAATCGAACCTCTATTTTATCCATGTTGATAAAGGGCAAATGCAACATTTTCAAAACATGTTGCGGGTATTGAAAGGAAACTGTTGCACAAAAGGAAACTGTAGACTTTGTGAAATAAAGTCGTAGGGTTTTTACTGTGTCCATTGCGGATATGTTACTGAACAGCCTTTCGAGACAGTTGGTTTTAAAAAGCATAAATAGGCGAGTTTGATGTTATAAGTTATAACTCTTTTCATCAAGTACGATTTAGGTACTGTTTAACCGAGAACACATTTTTGAAGAATATAGTTAAAAGCAAATACTGTACCCCCACACACAAACATGCATATACACAGGTTAATAATTAGCTACTGAAAACTACCCGCATGAAAAATGATGAATACAGCTCTCAGTCAAATCACAGAAACAGAATAATGATGACCGGTTAGTCAATTTTTAAAACTTAACAGGAAAATAGTTCTTATCCATAACATATATACAATGCTGTTTATCTAATTACATGGCAATACACCTAGAGAGCTCTTTAACATTTTAAAAACAACTTAAGTTATAAACTATATGATGTAAAGAACAAATGTTATATTCTTAATGTAGCTTAATGTGAAATAGCACTAAACGACTTGTGCTACAAAAATATAGATTTGTTTTATGAAAATGACCATCTTCAACTGTCAACTGAATGAATATCTTGATCAGCCGCTTTCAATAAGTTTGATCATAGTCTTTAAATCCAAACAATGGAAACCTGTAACTGCAGACGTGAAACAAGCAAAATGAACACGCAAGTTGCCCGCATCCCTTCACAAATTCTGAGGAAAAAATTAAGAAAAAAGCACTGCATTTCAATTACCTGCATTGTGAAAACTCCCAGCTCTTGTGCGGACAGCTTTTTCATTTGCACTGCTAATACTTGCGCTTCTTCCAAGATTGAAAACTCCGTTTCCGCGCTACAAAATCCACAGCACAGAAGCGTACAAAAAGCGACTAAGCTCCAGGCGATAACCTTATCGTTATTCCAGTGGAATTCTGTGTACTTATTCCATATCGAGAAAGAAATTCGGGATAAAATCACAGATCCGTCCAATACCCGCCTCGCCATGATGGCTTGGTTGTGTAGTAAACTGGGAATTCGTTCTGCAGCACTTGAGGAAAAAAAAAACTTGAAACTACTTTTAAAGTTTGTTAATAAATTTGGTCCCCTTTTCACAAAAAGTACATCCCAGGTGTAACAGAGGCATTAATGCATTATCCAGAAATATATTTAAAAAATAAAAACAAATTATGAAAAACGATAATGGAAAGTACCCCTAATGCTAGCAACTACATACTCATACTAACTCAGAGTAAAGTGAGAGCTGTGCTATCACAATGGAACTGAAAACAGCAGGCGTGGACACAAAACACCGGAATGGAGTTTTTGGCTGTAGTGGATTTGGATTGCATTCGAAAACAATAAATAGCAAAATGTTTTGTGTTAACACGATTATCGGTTCTATATGATTTTCTTGAAGTGCGTACATCCAGATTACGTGAAATTATGCTATAACACGGTTTAAAACTAATCCAATTATGATTACTACACTACAAGATAACGTAATACATATACGGAGTAAACATAAAACAAATCATGACATCAAATTAATATTGTAGTCCTAAGCTAAAGATCATAGGACTTTAACCTTTAATCATAGGATTACACTTTAAAAGATGTAGTGAAGGTCTTTAACCGAGTTTAACCGTTGGTAGTTGCAGAGTCTAACAGATGTGGGCAGCGAGTTCCACAGACTTGATTGCTGCAGTGGTACATTAGAAAGCACTATCAACACCTAATGTGAGTTTGCTCTTGGGTAGAATAATAAGACCCCCATCAGCAGATGCAAAAAATCCTTAAAATAATAAGGACCTTCAGCGCCTTGTACACAAGCAGAAGAACCCTAACATGCACAGAAAGCCTGTGTAATTTATAGAGGACAGGAGCTTTGTGCTGATGAAGAGCACTTTTTAGTTAGGGTTCAAGCCACAGAATTCTAGAATTCTAGATGTACTGAAGTCTATTTAGCACCTAAGAAGATAACCTATTAAGCAAGGCATTACATAGTCTAATATTAATCAAATGAAGGAACATGTCACTGTTTCAATATCAATATTAGCAAAAGTGAAAGAATTATACTTTTGTGAGTTTCTAATATGCACACCAAATTAGGTTTCGAACATTCATCATTGATTTTATTTAAATACCATCAACAATAACATTGAACAACATCCACATCATAAAATCAGAGAAATGTTCTACAGGAAAATAGAAAATCCAAATAATAAAGAATACACATAATTTATAGGTGCAAATATAGTTAGACATATGGAGATATAACCTTAGTGAATTTCTATAACAAATAAAAAAATGTTCAGGCACTTGACAGATTTTCTTATATATATATGTAAAATACGTTCATATTTTCATATAATAATTTTAATTATTAAATAAAGTTAACGTTTTATGTCACCCGTGAACATCTTGAGGTAATATTTCAGTTTGTCAGTGAAGCATAGTTCCTTAAAGATATACTACTAAAAAATCAAATGTATCTAATATAGAGCTTATTTTTGATTGGTTAAGGACTGTAAGAGGGATCATTCTTCATATTCCGGAATTGACTTTTCCTTGTTTTTTGTTTTGAAAATGTGTACAATGTACACATTTTGATTAATCAAGTCCTTGCCTGTCTTATTTAAATGTATTTATTTTTCTCTTTAACTATTTTCTCTTAGATTTTATCTCTATTGCCACTTCAAAATCTTGAAATCCTCTGGAAAAATGCTATTTACCCCTTGCTTGCTTTCTTCCGACTGCATTCCTGAGGAAAACGTTTGGAAAAGCAAAGTCCCAGCTGTTATCTTAACCCCCTGCACGTGAACATTTTATCCAGTTCAGGATATGAAATGTCAGATAATTTGATCTTATTGCTCTTAAAGGTCAGAAGTAAATTTAGCTTGTCTGGTAGAAGACAACACAAGTCTCTGAAGTAGATATTAAGCTGTGACTAACCCTACGGGTTCAAGTGTAACTCAGAACACCTAAATCTAACAAAACAAAACAACATGTAACACTAAATTGAAACAAAGAAAACTATAACCTGCAGAAAAAATATGATGGTACTCTTAAATGTTTGACCCATGTTAAAAATAAGTAATACACTAAATATTTGAAATACAGTATATGATATATAAATACTGAGGTATTTCTACTTAACTATTACTGTTTTTTGTCTAGATATTGGTCTAGAAATGTTTGACAGCAAGAGACATTTATTTGGGCATATGAAGGTAAAAAAATGTAAAAAAATGTGACCTTTTATTAAGTGATAAAAGAAAATAAGAAATAAACACTGTATTAAAAAAAGTCCTTAAGATAGCATGCTACTGTAAATTAAATATTTAGTCTTTTCTTTTTTTCTTTATCTCATGTCAATTACAATTAAATTGAGTTTGACCTATTGACAAGGAACAAATCTAGGTTGATACTAACCTTAAAATATCTAAGCCTAAAATATAAAATGTGTACAGTGTAGTTAATAATGTCCAGACTATTTGCTGACCTCAGGAACTTTAGATGGAGCTGACTATATTTTCGTGGTATCAGTCCTTCTCTGAATTTTTTAGCAGAGGCCGTGAATGCAAAACCCCAATTAGAAAGCTAAATTCAACATAAAATGTAGAAATATTTTGAGGACCACTTCTAGACTTTAGAAAGTAATCAAATTCAGTAGCTATCCAAAGCTGTTTCGTAAGTTAAATATTAAATCTAAAAACCAGTCATTTGGGGTTTAAACCTGACTCAGCTGTATCCCTGTCTGCCAATCATAAGTGTTCCTAAAATTGTTTGATCTGCTTGACACGAACATGATCAAATTTTCATTTAAAGACAGTGTTTTCCAATGACTTGTTGACTCTAAGTCCTACTTGCTCATCTCAAACTTAAAAACCAGTCATCAAGACAAGGAAAAATGTACTATGTTCAATTTCCTTTAAAAATGCAAGAATTCTAAAAGGTTTCAAGCATCTTTAAATGTAGTGATTGATTTTCAAAGTAATCCAGGATTTCTTCAAAGCTAAGCTTTTTTGTAGCATTCATAATCAGTTGTATAATATTCCCAGAATTCATGGTGTGTGCAGGTTACTCTTTTCCTGAATTTTCTCTGTCTATATCAGTATCAGAATACATCTGGGCCCTGAAGGGTGCAGTCCTTGGGTTTTTCAAAGTAGCTACACTGGGGAGAAGTACAGATAAGTCATTTACAGACTTTGTTCTAACAGTTAACAACAGAGCTGCCATGTCTCAGACAAGAGTGTACTGGAAAACCGGAGAACTTAAAATCAATTGAAAACAAATTAGCATATTTGTTTCTGTCAAGTAGAGTTTTGCATCCAATCTTTATAACTAAATATGGTCTACCTTATGTGCACACAGAGTAGGATGGTGTATACAATTAATTCTGGAAATCCCTCTTAGCCAGCCAGAAAAGGAACAAATTGCATCAGCTGCACCCAGAAAAGCTGGCCACAGCCCAGGAAAGCAGCTTCTTCCCTCACTTTAAGGAGTGTGGTAAGAGTAAATCCAACCCATATGACAGCCGTATAGTTAGCGCAGGAGTTTGCTCTGAAGGTCTGGTTGATAGGCTCTCAGCTGCCATCCCTGAAACTGAACCTCTGATGGCAATGTGTTGGCACCAGAAATGGAGACATAGCCAAAATCCCTGTGCACTAAAGCTTTTGCAGGGCTTGTACATATCCAAACATGCATAACATCACCTGGCTCACCCTCACCTTTCTTAAAACGTTTGCAGCAGTGGATTTTTTTTCTTTCCCATTTAACTAGGATTAAGGGAAATAAGATGATGAGTATTTGAATACTCCAAAGCAAGACAAAACCATACACTTAGTTTGGAAAATAGCAGTTATTTGTTTAGATTGTATTCCTGCTACCTGCTATGAAATAACATTGTATGCAGGCTCTTGTTTTATTGTACTTTTAAAATCCAAACATTGCCTATGCCAGAACAGTTCTTGAAAGCCTGGCTTTCTGGGCAAAGATAGCACATTGAGTCAGCCACCTCCCTTAGTCCATAAAAATAAGAATAAAATCAACACACACTCACATTTCTGGTTGGCTTTAAGTGCAGTTTTCCTTCAAGAAAGCTGTCCCGACACCCCAGAATGGATGCAGAATCTGGATAGCATTTGAAGATAGGCAAAACCCAGCAGAAATGTAGATAAATCTAAAAATATTCTCTAAATATTCCGATTCCACAATCCTGAAAGCATAAGAGGTTTTCTTGGAAGGAGTATGGAGGACCTGAAAGACCCAGATGGGCCTCAGACAGTGATTCTGTAGAAGATAAAATTAAAAAAGCATTAAAAAAACAATTAAACAAAACACCACTATGAGGTGCTTTTTATAGATTGGCAGATGAGCCTCCCCCACAGTTCTGCAAAAGCATTTAAACAGCACCCCTTTCATATAATTTCTTCTTCTAGACCGCCTACATGCATCTGTTTTGTGATCCAGAAACATCCCTTTGGTCTAGTGGTGTGAGGCTGATTATTCTTTTCAACTACAGTGTGGACCAAGTTTGTAGTTGTTGACAAAACTGTTTTATTCCCCTGCAATTAAAGGTTATCTTTTCAGAAACTGTTATTGAGAAGTGAGGTATGATGTTCAGTTAGGCATGAATTAGAAACTTATTTGGGGCTATACAAAGCCCAGCTACTCATCAGCTGTTCATGGTATAACTTTTTGTTACCTGCTTCTACATACTGTGGCAATACAATCAATGGTGTGAAATTTCTCCATCAGGCAAAACAATTCAAAACTGCAGGACCGGGAGATCATTAATTCCAAGCCTCAAAGACAGAAACCAGAAATAAAAGAACAATGGAATATAATGGAAACCCCCTGTCATTACTGTATCTAGCCATGTGTTTTCAAACCACTTTGTACAGTTTAGGGTCACAGGGGGTTAGGAGTCTATCCCAACAAGCAACAGGCACAAGGGTAGGACACCCTGGAAGGACACAGACACAAACTCACAACAGGGTCATTTAGCCAATTAACACAACAGACAAACATGGGGAGAACATACAAACCTCACACAAATAGAGTCCCAGGTTTGGAATTGAACCCAGGGCCCCAGTGCTGCAAGGAAACAATTCTCACCAATATGCCACCAAGCTGCCCTACAATTGTATGCAAACGTCTGGGCACCCCTGGCCAAATTACATTTTGTTGAATTTCTAAGTGAAAAGAAGTTAACACAACCTCTACAGCGAACGAACTTAAAATTGAC